CTTGCTTGGCTGCAGCTCCAACATCACGTGTAAGCAAAGTAGAGAGCGGGCTGCAGTTTTTTGTTTAGAGAATTTCCAGTTTCCTTGTCTCATCTCTGCTATAGACCTAAATAGACCTGAAGTCTATTTTGCCCTGTTCTGTACCTGTAGGAAATACAAGAGGGGAAAAAAAAAAATATATCACAGAACAAATGACAAGCTTTTGGCTAACAGGACTAATTACAGTCTTTCTTAGGTGTCAAAAGTGAAAGAAAGGAGACACTACTTTGCTCTTACAAAGCATTGCAGTCTGTTATAACTCTAGTAAGAACTAAATCTAAGACACTATACAGACAAGATGCATTATTTTAGGTCAGCCTTGAATACTTGGGTTTTATTTTTCTCCTACAAATCAAACATCCGTTCCCAGAATACAGATAATCAGTTCCAGTCAAGCTCAAAGGATATCTACTCTCAACTGCAAAATAAAACAAGAGTTTGGATCTTATTAGTGAAATATATAACTAGCCTTATATCTGAAAACAAATAGTTTAATTATCTGTAACGTTACTTTTGTAGGAAGAAATGATTCATGGAAGTGAGCCATGGCTCCACAGACCACTGCACTGGAAAAATTTAATACTGCAGGACTGGTAACACAAGATATGTCCAACATTACTGGCAGTCTTTTCATAATTTTTGTACTTAATTCATCTCCAACCAGAAGTTTAGTCTCAGGTAAGCTGTAGGGAGAGAGGTCAGAACTGCACCAGGCTGGTCACTCAGAACCACAGCCCCACCACGATAATTTCCTATGACTATTCAATCTTTTCAATCAAAAGGGCATTTTTGTCTTGCCACACCATTCTGAATTTAATTTCAGGAACTCAGTACTATGCGCAGCATATAGCATTCTTGCACATTCAAAAGGCTGCAAAAAAAAAAAAAGGACAGGAGTTATTTGCTTTGTCCTAAGGATCATCTACAGGTCGGTACTGTACTTGCATTGAGTCAGGTACTGAGCAACACAAACCTCCTCTTCCCACTGCCGTGGTGAGCCTAGGAGAGAAACAGATCTAGCAACAGGAATTAGTCCTTCATACAGCTTACCAAAACATCATCTCTTTTTAGAAGAACTTAATTCTACTGACTTGTGGCAAAAAGTGAGTGGCTGTAGCAAAATGGCCTGCATAAAGGATAAGATAAAGAAGGGAAAATTAAATGAGCACTGGATGGAAAATCTAAGAGATTAACAGAAGTGTCAGAACCAAGGAAAGACTAAAAACCTGAAAATCACACCTATTTAAAGTCTAAGCTAAAGGCTGGCACATACTGAACAATTTGCAAGCTTGCCTCTAGAATGGCTGGGTAATACACAACCCCGTGCTAAACTCAAGGCAAGTTCAGGAGACAGCGTCACTTGGGATTAGGTGCCTTATTATTGCTTCTGATGTGCTCTGCATTTCAGAATCAACCAGGGGTCTAAGGAAGATCATCTTCTATTGGGCAAAGATAGCAAGTGAATTTTCTTCTTTATCGAGGGATTGCAGTTTTCTTGAAAGAAGAATGTTTTCAATTATTCAAAAACTGGCATAGCACACAGCACCAAAATCCTAGACCCTGCAGCTTTTTGGACTCAGCAAGCCCCCTTCAGCTCCTGGCAGCACAGTGTGAGCAAAGCCTGGGTCCAAGATGACTAACTTCATAACTTCTGGATTTGTCAGAGAGTGTTCTCCCCAAAGTCGCTATGTTGCATGTAGGACACAATTGTATCATACAATCTGTAAAGTACAAGAAATTCCTAAGTGTCACTTAAAAACATACGCAGCCAGCACTGAAAAGAATTGTGTGCCTTGTATGTGCAAGAGGAGGGAACACTGCTGAACAGCTTACTCTGGTAGCAGGACCAGAAGGTACCACGGAGCAGCTTCAGGGTCATTAGGTTCCTCAAGCTGTAAGGAGCAGCAAGGAGTAGGGAACCTGTGAGCACAGACATTTATTATTCATGAAACATAAGGACTACCTGTCCCCCCACAATACAGTGTCTACCAATTAATTTTCGTAATATGTCATGCCTCCCCACCCCCATCACAGCTATCTGACTACAAGCATTTCTCAAATTCTTCCTTGTATTCATGGTACAAGTCTGGGACTTCACAATGTGGGGTGTTAAAAAAAAAGAAAAATCAATCAAACAAGTCATACCTTCCATGTATATTACCATCTAAAGCTAAAATTTAGTCAGTGTAAGACTACGACCACAACACTGTTTTTAATGCCAAGTTCTATACTATGTGTTGACTGTCAGAGAGGGGGGCTGGAGCTGGATGCGCCAACTGTCAAATCAAATAGATGAAAACACCAACTCTTCAGTTTATTTTTTACATAAATTTCACACATGGATGACTAACAAGAAATGCATGTTTGTATGTTAACTATAAGCTATCGAGCAATCCTCACTATTTCTTAAGTCATGAGTCAAAACTAATGTCGTCTTATGAAAGACAAGACCTATCAGGTCTTCCTTCAAGGTAAGTTTTTTGGTTGTAAGTTAGGGCATCAGTTCTGAAACACTCCTTCCTATTACAGGAGGATTTTATAGTTAGAACTGCAATTAAAAGCAGCCCCAAAACCTCCACACTTTTTCCTCATAAAATTTGTGACTACATGGCATTCTCCTAGCAGACTTATATAGGTCTTTGCATGCCACGAAAGTTTTTGTCAAAGCTAAAAATTTTGATGGTGGTAGGTCAAGGCAAGGCTTCCATGATGAAATTTTCAGTGAACCTTGCCTAATGATAACAGTATATTAACCATGAATTATATAATATCTGTGGTCTAAATTCAACTTAGAAATGAGTTTCACTACTTTTTGAAAAACAGTACATGTTTATCTTGTATTGGTTTCTTAATATGTAGAAATTAATCTTTTGGTTTTAACAAAACTAAATTAAAATTTTTGAAAAATATGAAGAATTTATTTGTTTACCAATTCTAACTTTATAATGAGCACTGAAAACGCAGTCAGTATGTCTGTTGCTTAACAATTGCAGATTTTACAGTTGACTCTGAAAGCTAGCAGGCTCTTCTCCAAACATCTAGTCCTCTCTGAAAAGAAATATTGATTTATAAAAGACCTCTAACAAACTGTTGCAGCCTTAACAGAAGCTTAGTTTACAGTTTAATACCTGTAACAATGAAATACATAAAATAGGAGTTACAATATAGGTAATGGAACATGACTTGGAATTAGAAAGTGACTGTAACCCCTTACGATGACATCTTTACAAGTATTTGGATACAAAACTTCCAAGCTCACTTTAAAAGGTCAACACATTAACTCTCAGACAAGTCATCCGCTGTTGACAAACCTTGTATTATTCATCTTAAGACTCACTGCAGTTTCAGTTACATTTTGAGTATGAAAAACACATCTTCTTGTCTTTTCAATAAATTGTTCCATTCAAAGGTTTTGACAGCCAAGATGGGAAGTGAAAAGAAAAAAGTCAGTCAGCATCGGTCAACATCATTTTAATCTCCACCGAGGGAAAATAATATAAACACGTTAACACAAACAGAAAATGTTTTGGAAAAGACCATATGGTACTATGACAGGGTTTTAGTTTATAGAAATGTAATTTATAATTTTATAAAAATTATATGAAAGAATAACAACATCTTTCAGTAACATCAGACAGTATAGAAAAAATAAATCTCAACATTAGTTGTATTCTGATGGTCCTTCTAGTAAGAAATTTAAAAGTGCTTTTTAATAAGTGTTGCAACTCAAGATTAGTGCAATACGTCAAATCTGTTTTAAAGCATATATTTATAGCAATTGTGCAAGTTCTTACAATTAACAAACCCCATCACTCTAAAAATTAACACTGAGGTAAGTATTCTAATTAGAATTAAATATTCCTTAAATAGCTTACACATTAATTCTACTACAAGGAAAATACTGGTATTCCTTCACAGAAAGGCTCAAACCTAAACATGACATGAAACTCGTACTACAATTCAGTGAATACCTGGAAGTTAAAAAGGCTCTTACAAAATATACAGATTAGTACATTTATGACCCAATGCTACAAACAGTACCTAATGCAAAGTATACCAACTTAAATAAAACGAAACTTTACAGTTAGCTATTTGTTCCCAAATCCTCCTAGAAGCTCCCATATAAAGTTAGCACATAAACTTAATGTAGAAATGTCACTGTATTTTTATCAGTACATATGAACAACCTGGTTACCAACTATGACTGCAACTATGAGTACCATTACTCTTCGAGCAAGTGAAAAAAAGACAGCACTAGTTGGGAAAAAACATTAAAACAAAAAATAAAAATTTACTCTTCACTGTTTTATACATGACAAGCTGGCAATAATTAAAGATACCCTATATTTCTACAGAGTGTTTTCTGCAAGAATTCTCAGAACACTAAAATTAGTTTTCATTTTGTTGTAGTTTCTTTACTCTGTGAACAATGCATAGTAGCTACCACCTTTTATATGCAGACCTCATTTTAAGAGAGGCAAAAACTAGACTGTTACTGCTGAGCCCTTATGGCTCATTTGCATATGGAGCCAAAGGCATTTCATATTTTATTTCTCAAGGTGTTTTTAAGTAGGATTTATGTCACTATCAATAACAGGAATAAAATATAAGTTAATGAACTTTCGTTCTAATAGGCTATGGCTTAAAAGCCTACCAACTGAACTGTTTTTTATAGTATTGCACTTAACTTTAGTATTAAACTGACAGTTGAAGCCTGCACAGAACTCATTTTACAACAATATTTCAATAAATAAAATGCAGTATCTAAAAAAAAAAAAAGCAAGTAGGTTTAATGGACCACCCATAACAATAAGAGAAGCAATTAAAGCTTTCTACAGTAATATTATAAACTGAAAGACAGTACCCTTGAGTATATGTCTCAATTAGCTTAAAAGGATTTGTTGCTTCAGAAGTTAGGCCCAGTTATTCTGTGACTGCATATTATCGCTACGTGTTATTTTACAGGCAAGTTGAGTCTTTTTTAAATGTTATATTAACCCTGATAATGATGTGGAGACTTCCCACTCCTAAACCAGGAAGTTGTTTCCTATGATTTAGTAACTTGTCATTGCAGTGACAAGTTGGTTAAGTCTTTAGCAGAGTCTCTAATCATCTGTTCTACCTTGGGATTTTCAGCTCCAGTGGTTACTAGCTCCTTGTCAATAAGCCCCAGGCTGTGCAAATTGAGGATGGAATCGGCAATAATCCGCGCTGTCCTCTTCTGGTAGCCTCCAGACGTCACCATCAGGATTGGGATTCTGCGGCTTCTGGCAGCCTTGAACACAACTTCATCTCTCTTCACAATTCCCTGCAAGTTTACAACAGTTACACAAAAAAAGAAAAAAAAAAAGAGTAATACCAATGTATTTTAGTTCTAGCCTATGGTTTATGGATTTATAGTATTGGATGCTTGATAAGTGATTAAGCCCTATATTTTACAATATGAATAAAAAAATCATTTAAAAGTCCTGTTAGGCCATTTACATGCGTAATCATTTTAAAGAAAAAAGGAAAAATGCCAAATCAAAAATCCTTGACTTTGTTTTAGAGGACACAGATAAAATCTTTAGTATAAATTCCTAGAAGAACTCCTGCTCAAAGGTCATAAAGTCTAAACTGACTACAAAGTTTACAAACGTTTACCCTATTTTACAGGTGAGGAACCAAGACTAAGAAAGATTGTCTGAATTCAAAGTGCTTTAGTTTGTGCCCAACTTGCAAAGCACCCTCTGACAAAAGTTTAGCAACTTGATCAAGATTCCACAAGCCTACAGAAGAACCAAAAATTCAAATCAGATTTTACACGTTCACAATCACTTAGCTGAATTACAAGCTTCCAGTTCCTTTAATAAAAGGTAATACTAAGAAGCATCTAGGGCTGAAGGGGAAGTCGCAGAACATAAGTAATGGTAAATCTGTAGAAAAGAATATAAATTCTAAATAACCTCTTACTAAAAGAGTAGGGTGTGGAACTAAAAAGTAATGAAGATTGCTGACCAAGAGGTACTGTGCTGTCATTGAACCCATACAACAGAAGACTTCGAGTCTGCTGGGTTTCAAGTCAGTACATGGCAGGGGGAAGAGAAAATTCAGAAATAAGTGAGAACAGAATTAAAATCTACTTTTGCAGAAAAGTAAAAGCAGAGAGAGTTCCAGAGATACACAGGAGGCATAAATAATGTATTACAACTCCTCAAAAAAAGACTAGCAACATAATAGACAACAGCTTACAATGGACAGCTCAAAATTTAAATGCAATCAAACCCCCAAATTAAGGAAGCAGCACCAAAACTGTTACAACAAAATGAATATGCACTACTCAGACTAGTTAAAGACTGTAAATATGTCAAGAAATATTACTCTGACATTAAAAAAAAAAAAAATCAGACCACAAACAAAAGGTAAAGAATCAAATTCAAATGTAGCTGAAAAAATATTTTGTAAAACCATACAACAGTCATGGTTTTTGTATAGTTTGACACAACCCTGTAAAAGAACAATGGGAGTAAGGAGTAACAACTGAAAAATAAGACAAAGGAAACCAAAGAATTCTATTAGGAACAGATCCTTAAAGGAAGTAACAGAATTACAGAATGAGCTGTACATCCCTTGGGAACCATTGCTGGATGCTGCAAATGTTTATACCACACAAAAACTAGAAGTAGTCATTATTCGTAGGAGCCCAACCGCGTCATCCCTGCTCCAGCATCTCTAGTGGCTGAGCCTGGAAGAACCAAAGGGAAAACACTTGGGCTTATTCCAGCATTTGCATGTTACCAAGAAAGAAAATACATCAAATGAAAACGACAGCCTGATACAATTCTCACTTACAAAGATAAGAGGGACTCAGCTGCTACAGCTCAAGTTTTCCAGCTATAGCCTCAAGCACAAGGAACTATCACTCACGGCACTCTGAGAAGGCATAATTTTGAGTAGAATTAACACCATAGCAAGATTTTAAAATATGAATGACATCTACAACTGTAGGACTGAAGACTGGACTAATGAACCTTGAAGAGATGAATTATGCAGGTTCAATGCCTTCAGTTTCGGCATTTCAAGCTTGGTGAAACATGGCATTCACACCTGGGCCAGCAAGATCAGAGAGACAAGAAACCCCTTCCTCAGTTCAGGAAACAAAGGCTTGAGCTACGGAAACGTTTTCTCCATCAGGCACCTGAGCCACTGGTTGCTCAAAAAAACTGGCACTCTATCACCTCTACTTATGACCAGAAGAATCATTTCACCTTTCTTTCCCCATCCCTACATTTTATCTCTTCCCCTACACAGCATGCTACAAGCTACAGCAACTGATTTTTCTTGGCTATTAAAACCACTCCTTCTCGAATGGAAGAAAAAATTTTGAAAAGGCACATCTTAAAGTATTCTCCATCTATCACTAGCTTCCATTTCTCTTGGTGGCCACTGCTTTCCAAATAGCTCTGCTCCACCAAATGAGATCTTACACCTCAGGTCATATCCCCTCCAAGGTCAAAACCAAACAAGTCCAAGTTCCTCAGCTCTTCCTTTCTCCTTAGAGACTTTCACACAGCCACGGAAACAAAACCTGGAGATTCAGAGAAGCTCCCAAGTCATTCCATCTTGGGTCCATCAAAGACTTGGCAGGCAGGCAGATAGCAACGAAGCGGCTGCTCAGTGACAGAGATGGTAGAAATGAGGAAATACATAAGGAAGCCAATAAAACCCAGCAAGGAGCTAGAGCTCTGTGCAAAAGGCAGCATTTGAGAACTGAAGTACTGCAAAACAGAATGAAAACTGAACAGATCGAGTGATAGCTCGATTAGAAGGGAATCCAGGAGCTCACAAATCAAGAAAGCTCTTAGAAAAGCGATTGAACAGGTGGACACTAAGAGAGAATCAAACGTGAAAACAGGACAGAGACAGAACCAAGGAGCTGTCAGAGAAGGAATCATTAAAAAATTGGAAGAAATACAAGATCTGTAGATTTTTGTTCCATTTTGAGAAAAGCAGACTTGTATCTGGAAGGTGAAGACTTCTATGAAGCTATACAGAATAAATTAAATCTGGTACCAAACTGGGGAGAGAAGGCAAACTGAACTGAAAAAGGGTAATGATATTTGTATAGGAAAGAACAAGGAAAGGGAATAAATCTGTTCATTTGCCAAGAATACACAGACAGGCTGCACAAAAGTACTAAAACTAGAAGATACCAGAAGAGCAGTTTAAAACAGCTGGGAGCGGAAATGGAAAAAGATGCATACTGGGGGCAGGTGACAAGAGAAATATATCGCAAAATGGGTTATGTGAGGGCAAAAGAAACAAAGAAAGAATGAACTAAAAAGGAAAAATAGGAGTCAGGTGAAGTGTGAAAATATATGCCTCTCTAGTTACTGTCTGGATGTTCAAAACCAGTATATTTTAGAAAGAAGACAAATGATACTGGAACAGGCACAGGAAGAACAAAAGTATTTGGTCAGGAAGAGACAACAAAGAACACGGTGAAAGAGCAAGAGACATGTCTATATGCATCTATAATAGGAAAATGCTCTGGTTTAGTGTAAAGTATGCACCTTACCTTCCTCTAACAAACGGCCACAGGTCACTCTCAGGACTCTACCTAGTGAGGAGTGAAAATCTGTAGGTATTTTAGTATTATACAAACCTGAGGTGAAATAGCAAGTCCTCCCAATGGATCGCCATCCAGAATATCAGTCCCAGCATTATAAACAATGATGTCAGGTTTTAATTCATTTAATGCTCCTTCCACGTGAGTATGTACTTTCTGAAGATATTCTGTGTCCTCTGTACCCCACTCTAATTCCACCTTGCGTTTTATGGCACCTAAAAAAAAACAAAACAAGTTTTGATGTTACTCAAATAAACAAAGCATTATTTTGAAAGAAAATACAAGATTTAGGTAAGCAAGAGAAAATGTCCCTGCTCATTGCAGGGGCGTTGGACTAGATGACCTTTCAAGATCCCTTCCAACCCAAACTATTCTATGATTCTCTGAAAAAGTTAACATTTCTGGAAATTTTGTAAATACATTGCATTTTCACAGAACCTTGAATTAAAGAAAATTATTCAACTACTTGTTTTCCCAGCAAATGTAAGCACAATGACCTTGAAAAAATTCCACTGAAGAGAGAAAATGAGATGCAGAATTAAAAAAAAAAAAAAAATCACACAACTCTGAGACACAAGCAGAAAATGTTATTGAAAAGCAGCTGATCTACATGTCCATACCAATCCACAAAGAAATCATAAAGAAAATAATTAACTTAAAAGTAAACTAAATAAAGCATAAGGAAAAGAAAACATTGAATTGCTATTGCAGAGGAAAACACAAGATAAGTATCACTGAGAAATTATTGAGACGTTTTATTTTTATCACAACACTCAAAACTTAACAGCAAGGGATCATGAATTTATGTGAAGTGCTTTATGAATGTATAACAAGATTCAGCTTTGCCCCAAGCATTTTCAATTTAATGTTTTTACTCTGTAATCCTATCAGGAGAGCAAATAACTATTTTTAATTTAAATCAAATTATTTCTAATGCTTCTAATAAAGCATTAGAAATAGAAGAGGAGTGTTGAGATGGTAGAGGAAAGAAACCCAAGGTTATGCAGGCTAGCTTTGGGTACTTTTATGGAGTTATGTGTAACTAGATCTGAAGTAATCAAATCTATGTCAGAGGTGTTTCAAGGTATGACTTCCATCTCACCACACCCTATGCCTTGAATTAAATAACTTGGAGTCTTAAATCGTAAGTGTGGACTCAGCAACCACCAAGTGTGCATGAATGCATTCAACACAGAATGATACTTATTTATTCTCATGATCACTGGGTAGATTGTTTTTCTGCTTTCCATCCTTGTTCAACATTAGTGAAGCATTCTTCTTCTTTCCTTTATTTTATTGCATCAACATTAGTTTCAAAGATTGTTGTTTCTTTACGATATTTTTCCTGAATTCTTATTGTTATACAGATGTTCATATATGTCTGCACAGCTGTGCTCTTCTGAACAGCACTTACAGCCTCTTCAGGGTAAAGAATCCGCTAGCTGGATAGAGCTTTAGAGGAGGAGGTAAACACATTAGCATGGGGAACAAGTAAGTATTGTTCTGATGAAACCATTACAAAGTTGAGATGATCATGAATAAGATTCCATGCCTTTGCAGGTCTCTCGTCTTCCTCTCCACCACAAAACAAAGAATCACAGTGATTAGCTATTAAGCAGATGAGGGACTACTTATGGACACAGTGATAGATCTGTAGCCTGGAATGAACTCAGCTTTTGCATTTGACAGCTTTTTGTACCTCTCTCGCTAATTAGTGACTGTACTCCTACAGCTTTGAAAACTGTAAAATGACACTCAGACCAACAGCAACACTTTTTTAAGGCCTGAACTTTGAGTTTCATCTATCAACTTTTTATGCTCAGCTTTAGGATGAGAGGAAATGGCCTCAAGTTGCACCAGGGAAGATTTAGGTTGGATATTAGGAAAAATTTCATCACTGAAAGATTGTTCAAACATTGGAACAGGCTGCCCAGGGAGGTGATGGAGTCACCATCATGGGAGGTGTTCAAAGAATGTGTAGATATGGCACTTCGGGACATGGTTTAGTAGGCACGGTGGTATTGGGCTGACAGTTGGACTTGATGATCTTAATGGTCTTTTCCAACCTTAAGGATTCTACGAGTCAGTGAACTAGTCCTTTTCACCATCCATCTTCTCCTCTCTCTTCCTAAACTTCTGTGTAATTCCAAACTGATTCCCCTTAGGGACTCAACATGCTTATGGCTAAGCAATGTTAGCTAGTCTTCTTTTTTTTTTTTCCTAACGAAGTTTTCAGGGCAAAAAAATGCACAGAAGAGACTCCTGTAATAAAAAAAATTTTCATTGAGAAAATGAGTAGGAATTCGAGGGAGACAGTGATCAGTTACAGTTTACCCTAAGGATTCAAACTCTCAGGTTCAAGCCTCTACTTCCCTTCAAAAAGATGCCCTGTCTGATCTCATCTTCGTCTGGTCAACTAGCAGGAGACAAGTTTAAAGGATTTAGCCACTGAACTCCTGTTTAGACACCCTTATGCAAACTATAAGAAACTACATATTCACATGCCTCTGGCCACAGCCTTCTGCGCCTCATGTTTCATCTGTAGAGCGGGAATACTAGTATTCCCAGCCTCACAGCAGAGGGGCGAGTTCAGTATTTCAGATTTGCTTACAAGGCCTTACTCTGTTTTGGTCTTAATCCATCTGTTCAAAACGTTGCCGTTTGATATACAAATAAAAGGCTGCTTTTTTTAGAAAAAAACCCAAAAATCTACATTTACTTGAAATTTGTCTGCAAGACATGATGTGCTTTAAATGGTCATTTTTTAATTTAAAACCTTGAAATGCATATACTACAATTTTCAAAATCTTTACTAGTTAAAACATAAAAGTACAATGCACTGCACCTAATTCTTGCCAAGAATCCAAATTAAGTAGGCTTTTCAGAATGACAGCATCATTGAAGAAATTCACCAGAAGAACATCTCCCCCAGTAAACTCAGTTAACAAATTAAACCTGTAATAAATGACAGTATAACAGAATCAAAGGTCAAATAAACTTTGGGCTTTTGCATTCCAATTTAACCATTATCAAAACCCCACTAGTTAATTGTGACAGGTCACCAGACACGACAGGCACATCACAGTAGGGATAAACAAACAACAACAAAAATCAAGCACCAGCTCTTAACATTTGTCATTTCCTTTTGCTTCCCAGCTTGCTTCACATTCAGACACATCTTGTTTTCAAAACAAGTTCTACTGGAAAGACAACACCTAAATATAATTTATGACTTTTAAAAGAATGCGAAACCTTTTTACACAGTATTAGCTAATCCTTAGTGAATTCTCTCTTAAATTTAGTGTAAGGGAAAGATAAAGTTCTAACAGTTATCTTCAAATTAAAAGGGTTATTTAACTCAATGTTCTAAGTGTGGCACAAGCTTTTGAATGGAGTGCTAACAAAGGCCATGAAATACCCACACCTTGCATTCCAGAAATTTATTCCAGGAGTGAGAGAAAACACTACAGCGTTAACACTATTGTGATATATCACAGTGATCATTAAAATCGTATGTTCAATGTGAAATTAAAAAAAAAAATCTGATTAACATTGTTGCAAGGAAGCTTATTAGTAAATGAAGAAGTTATTTAACAACACAGTAGGACTTTTACATTTTGGAATATGAATTTCAATTGTACTTACGTTTAGCAAATCCATCCCCTGGATAAATATATCTGTTGTATGCATCCATAATATATACCCGATGGTCATCCATAAAGTCCCTCTCATGGCCATTTCCCTGAAAGAAGTTTACAGTTAGCTACTCCTAGCAACAGGAGAATTAACAGAATTAAATTAACACAGAATTAAATAAGCTACAAATTCTAGAGTAATTAAAGACTACAAAACTCTAATATTTAAAATTCCTGTGTCATTCTCTTATTTATATTCTTGAAGGTTATTTTGAGGCGTAGAGTTTTGGGGGCTTTGACAGTATCAGTCTGAAGACTGTAGGTATTATGAAGATCAACATATTTATATCTCTGTGAAAGTAATTATCATAGATCTCATTGCACATAAGAAAAATAAACAAAAATTAGAATCTAATTGTCTTCAGCAGCATCACAAAAGTAACTGTGATCACCAAATAGACCTGTCACTTTCCAGTTGTGCAAAAAAGTCACTTTCAACTGCTCCAGGGATACTCATATTCTGATGAGGATTAACAGTTAAATAAAGCAGACTACAGCTCTTCTGATAATTCAAGCCTTCGTGAGATAAAGTAATCCCTGGAAAAATTACAAACACTAAAGACCCAACAGTTTAACATGTTGTTAACACCAGGAATTCCCTACAAAAAGATTCTAACAGGTGTAAAGACAGTGAAAGGGAAAACTCAGATTCTGAATATTTCCCCCTCCCCCATTTCTCAATTTAAATACTGTGCTTTTGGCTCTCATTTAGACATTTTTCCACTAGTATAAAAATCACATTTTTACAGTGATCACTAAGATAATTTTGTTGAAATCAGTGTGTCATACAGGACCCCAGCCCCTATCCCAAACAGAATTTCATTTACACTGTAGAAACAGACACTTCCACAGATATATCTTCTGTAATTCAGTGAAATTAATTTATGTCCCTTAACAGTTAAGCTGTATTTCTGCTACAACATCCTGTCTTGGAAACAAACAAACAAAAGAAAGCATCAAAGAATCACTGGCTAAAGCTAGTCACTGTGTGTGAAAAAGGGAATGGGAAGCACCAGAATTGCGTTTCTTTACGCTAAAAAATGGCAACTCCTACCTATGTCTTCAGCACCTTTGTTCCACAAATAGACAGTTAATGAACAGAAATCTGGGCACATGAGAGCCTCTGGGTGAACCGTTTTCTCAGGAAAGCAGAAGCTCGCCAGTGCACCAAGAACTGCCACACTCACAAGATGAGAATATCTGCATACTTAAAACAGATCTGCAGAGCTACTACTTCACACACCTCTCATTCCCCAAAGACAGGAAGCACAGGGGTGATTTAGTGTGCAGACTGAGATTACCAGTATAATACCTGAAAATCAAAATACATTCCAAGAATTTTTTAAAAAAACAAAACAAAAAACACCCCCAAAAAAGCACAAAAGAACCCACATCCTGAAAGAGATAGCTGAAGAGAATCATGAACACAAAACATCTTCTTGCATAATCTATGTCCTTAGTTCACGGTAATTTTAGGATGCCTTAACTTGTAGATAAAAGAAATTATAGAAGATGGAAAACTTGCAGCCATTATGCTTCCTCACTGCCATGGAGCTACTCAAAAATTCTTTATTTACACATAATAATTTACCGTCAATGCTTCAGATTGGACATAATTTGGATGCATTAACTGCTTTTCTAAAAATACTATCTCCCTCCTTTCAGGATTTATTTTGGAAATCCTACCAGTGACGAGATTTTTCTTCTCAGTACCAACAGCAAATCACTTTAACAGGTGAAGAGTGATGTATTCTTTACTTCATTAGCCTGAAGCCAGGCTTTCCATTAAAACACTGAAGGTCAAATCCTTCCCCTACAAAGGTTGCTGCAACGACCATGCATGCTGAACTCTCTGTAATTCTGGTTTACGACAGTCTTATTTCTTCTGGGATACGGATCTACTCTGAAGACCATTATGCCTCAGCTCAGCATGCAACTCAAAAATATTTTTACATCTAGCCACATGATGGAGCTACAACTCAGTTTAATTTTGTTAAACTGGCTTAGCAGCCTTAGGGACCATAAAATAATTAAACAACTAAACTATTCACAGTTTCCATCATCTATGATTAATTTTGTATCCTTTGAGTTGACAGTTTATACTACCATTAGAAAAAATGGTATTTATCACACACTTGTATTTCCAGCAAACCATCTGCAGCATTGTATTCATACAGGGAAGCTACTTACCTGATGAGCATCCAGATCAATAATTGTGGCTTTAGATATCCCTTGTACTCTTTCAAATAAGAACTGGATATATAAGCAAAGAAAAAGATGGAGAAAGTTATGAAGTTAGGTGACAGATTAAACTGGAGGCTCGAAGCTTGAGCATGTATTACGGTTCTGATTTGAATGTAGCACCTACCTATTAAATTAATTCATGAAATAAACAGCTAAATTATTCTAATACATTTCATTACAAAAGCTCTAGTTGTTTCACATAAGATGATAATTTTTTGAGGTTATACAATGAAAAAAACCCAACCTCAACATTTCCACCAGATGAAATGCATGAAACATGCATTTCAGAGTCATCTGTGCAGGTGTCTGCCTACCTGTAGAGAAAATTGGTGGAGAAAGAGAAGAAAGAGATTTCTACTTCTCTCCTCTTTCTCCCAGAGAGCCAGACACAACACAGGATCAGGGCCGTGTCTTTCTCCAGCATACCACACCAACTCGTAAAGCAGACTCTGCAAATGAGGTGTAAGCTCAACTGAGTAATGCAGCGGAGTCCAGGGTTACAAACCCTGTTGTCGTAACACTGGCTCTACACCGGCGTAGCTGGTACGTCCCTGCATCCCGCACCAGCCAGGCAGAAGAGCACAGGTCCACCTAGGACCTAGGGGTTATAAAGCTGGTCGTGGCACTGGTGCTGTCAGAGGCTGGAGTGGAACCAGCGACAGCCCCAAAATGTCGAGGAGCTAACTTCACGGGGACACAAGTGAGCTCGC